AATGTGGTGCTGGAAAATACCCTAGACTGCCAGAAAGATAAACAAGTGGATCCTAGAGCAAATCAAATCTGAACAATCTCTGGAGGTAAACATATTGAAATGGACACTGTCCTACTTTGGGCACGGCATGAGAACAGATGATTCTCTTGAAAGGATGATAATGCTGGAAAAAGTGGAAGACAGCAGGAAAAGAGGAAGACCAAATAGAAGATGGATTGATTCACTAAAGGAACCACAGGCCTGAGTTTCCAAGAGCTGAACAAGGCTGCTGAAGAAATGGCATTTTACAGATTGCTCATTGTTATCACCTCCTAGGAGACAACTAGCCTTATTTCGTCCTTGAATCCCTATTCATTAGATGAATAGGTTGAAACAAAATGGGACATACTGAACTTGGGAGATGTTGAATATTGACAGGGATGAAATTCTGTCCACTTTCCATGGTTTCCAAAAGTAGCCCCAGACCTTCTGATACCATTTTCCATTCCCCTGTTTCACTCACAGAAGAAGGCACAGTCTCTAAAGGGTACCCAGTTCTCTTCACCAAGTCCTTGGATGTAACAGTTCACAAAGTTCTGGTGTCTCCTTGTTTCTGGCTAACTTTTGGGAAAGATTTGAGGATGAGTTCCTAATGGTGGTCCTGACCGATCTTCGCTGGAGTTCCACTGTGCTGCTTCCTCTTTAAGGAAGGTTTCTGAATCCGTTTCCTGCACTGGCCTCTGTATTTGGTGGGATTCAGCTTCCTTGACTTTCTTGCCTCTCTCCTTACTTTCTCCCCCCCAATATGAGGGTTGATATGGCACTTGGCGGTTCTCAGATTTCTCACTCTTTCCAGTATGGATTCTTTCTTGAACTAATACACCTCTCCATGGGTCTCCTTTGTAAATGTTATTCCATTTTCCTGGTTCTTCCTTCAGGGATTCATCAACCCCAAAAGTTCCCAACCACTCTTCCCAGGCATCATCCCATTCTGCCTCTTCTATTTTTCCATCTTCTTGGGTTTCACTGTGCTTCTCTTTTGTTCTCTTTCAACGTTACCAGATTCTCAGCTTCCTTTCCACACTCCCATTAAGTTGTCCAACCTTTATTCCTCTCTACTTGTTCCTATCTCCTCCTCTCCCTCTTCTTTCTCTGGGATGTTCTCTTCCTTTCCTAAGGTCTCTCTTGACTTCTCTGTCAGTTCCTCCCCTTTTGGCAGCATGGCCAACCATATATCAGCCATTTGCCATGGTTACAGTAATTCCTCTCTCTTCTACCCAGGAGTACTTCCCACTCCTATTGCAGGTATCACCACATATGCTTCTGTTTGCTGTCTCATGACGTACATGTGATGCTATGTTCTTCTGATGATCTTGTCTTGGAGCTCTTGTTATTCGTTCCTTGAAAGACAAGAATGTATCATGTTGCTTCTGGGTTGGAGTTTGATGGACCACCAACAGGGGCATCTGTGTCTCTGTCCCCCTCACATTCATTCATAGGGTCACTATAAGTGATAGGTGACCTGATGGTGCACAACAACTGTCTGTCTAAATTTCTATTATACCTTTCTGCCGAAGAATGACACTCAAGGCAACTTATGAATCCCATCCTTCTAAGAAACTCCCCTTTAGTTCTTCCCACTTAATGTGGGAAGGGTGAAGACAACATAGACATCATACAAGCAGAGCCATTAAATATAATACAGTATGTTAATTCCTTAGCTCAGGTCACAGAGCAGAACCAGCAGAAAGCACCACAAAGCACTTTGGAGTATCCCACAAACCCCTTTCTTGCTCTGTGATAAATTTTGCAATAGGACAGTAGCTGCTGTGGCTTCCCAGAAGGAGAGGGACCTTGACCTCAGTGAGATGGGTCACTTAGTCAGTTGGAGAGATCTAGCAGGGCTCCTTGCATGAAACAGCCAACACAGCTCTTCAGAGAGCAGGTGGAGCTTGAATGCTTCAATGTGAAGAGTTCTCCCTCACATCGAGGCACTATGGAAGAAGTGGCCAGAGAGGTATCATTCTCCAGAGACAAAGCTCATGGAATTGGTGTGACTGACAACAATAGAACTCCAAAAAGGAACAAAAAGATGGCTGTGCATATTCTTCCCACCTCAGTCTGTGGACATCTCGTACCATTCCTGCAAATACAAGCCTCATTCTGACATCGTGCTTGTGTCTTCTTGCATGTATGAAGGAATAACATTTTCACAGAGGGTATATGTTGCAAAATCAGGCTGAACTTCTCCAAAAAGGGCAAGGAAGAAAAATAGGCATACCCATACTGAAAACATGCCTGACCTGATCCCTTCTTGGTGAGAATTGCTGCAGACAGCTGAGTGACACAATGCAGTTTTAAGACTAAATGCTCTTGTTGAGGTCCTATTACATACCAGACCTATGCTGCTTATATAATGGATTTATGGTTCACAGCTTCCTGAATCTTGTATTTTTAAAAAATGTGTGAATTAGTCTGTGTATGTATGTGCTTAAACAAATTCTATCTCCTCGTCAGCCTCTCTCCTCTTTTTACTCTAATCCTGACATAAAGCCATGGTAATGCTGAATTTGTTGACATCCCTGTCAGTCCTGTGGCAGGAGGCTGTGATGCTTTAAATACAGGATCCCTGCAGAACCAAACTCTGTGGAAACCTATTTCATACAGGGCCTTGAACCTTCAGTCTGTCAGCTGGTATTTTTTAAATTGAAAAATGCCTCAAACAAGCTGAATATTAGGTTTAACCTTTGCAATTAAAAATGTTATTATTGAGGTGATTTTAAAGTCTGTCACAGAGATTGTCCTCAACTTTGTGGTTTGTAGGTTTTAACCTGAATGTCAAAATATGTGCATCACATCATCAAAAGGGACTCGCAGTGTAAGAAAAGAGTCAACAAAGCCTCATTCACTGCTTTTTGAGTCTTAGTGATAAAGGTACTGTACATTAGGTATCCAGCAATGGAAACAGACATCAGGTGTACCATGAACAGAAAAAGATAGAGACTGCCTCTTTAGTCTTACTGATAAAGGCACATTAGGCATCCAGCAATGGAAACAGACTTCAGGTGTACCATGAACAGAAAAAGATAGAGCATTTTCAAAGCTTTAGACAAGGAATTATTTCATAAGAAAAGTGGGCCTCTTCAGAAGGTCCGGATGCAATATGGCATGCCTGGGATCCATCGAGGCCACAGTTGTCTGAAATGAGCACCAGTTATGAAAAACCAAAGCATATTACTGGAGTACTCTTTAGTGTCAATTTCATGGATTTGAAGGGGCTATACCTTATTTCTTTGGAAAATCATGCTCTGGAAGTCTCCAGAACCCAAATGTCTTTTTTAAAAAGTGATTTGGGAGGGTGTATTTGAGGGCTGCCAAATTGGCTTTGGAGGCTCATATATGGCCCCAGCCTAGACTGGGTAGCTGTTTTGAAAGGTTTTTTATCCTTCTAAACAAGATCTTCATATATTTATGTGAAAATTGAAGGAAACTTTCTATGGGAGCAGTTAGATATAGCATTAAACCAGTGATTTCCAACCTTGGATCCCTAAATGTGTTTGGGCTACTGCTCCCAGAAGCCCTGGCTAACACAGCTAGGGATGAAGGCTTCAGGGAGTTTTAGTCCAGAAATATCTGGGAACCCAAGGTTAGGAACCACTGAACTAAACCTTTGCTTATCACTGGAGAGGGGTATGAATTGCTTTATGCCAGGTCATTGCAAATGTAGCAGTGCAGGAATCCCTGCCCCGCCTCCTCGTCTGAGTGGGTGGCTGCCAGAGGAGGCATAGGAGGGAAGCACACATTCCTGCCAGGTCTGGATGATGGAGCAAACTGCATATGTAACAGATGCTAAGAAAATGTCCCTAGAAGAAAATACAGGGCAGAAGATGAGCCATAATGAGGGATGGATATATCTTGAAGTGCAGAATTGCTTCTGCAACCTTGCCAAACACTGAATATCTATCTATCTATCTATCTATTCTATCTATCTATCTATCTATCTATCTATCTATCTATCTATCTATCTATCTATCTATCTATCTATCTATCTATCTATCTATCTATCTATCTATCTATCTATCTATCTATGCATTTATTCATTTATGCATTTATTTATGCTTTCGTGTATCCCATGCATGCATGCATTTATGTATCCATGCAATTATATATGCATTTGTTTACTTATTTATAATTGACAGTGACACTGAATTGAGTGGGTGGAGTGAGAGTTTCTGTGCAGTGTTTTTACTGACAAAACAAAAACTGGATCAAGCCCAGACAGGGTTTTGTTGAGTTGTTGCCAGCTCCAATAACAACCAAAATGAAAGATTCTAAAATGTTTTACAGGGCCTTGTCTAAACTATGTGATATTATGAATGTCTTTGATTTTGTTTCAAGTATGAAATTTTGCATCTCTACATCTTATAGTCAAGGAGAAAGAAGAAAATATCTAGATGTTACATGCATAGTGAGAGTCAAGTGCAAATAGATAAGCCTAATAAAATGTCAGGAGTAAAAGGTTGTTTGAACAGGCCTTCCTGTGGCTGTGGCTGAGATATATAGGAAACAAGCTAATGGATGTGATTGCAAGTTGGTCAGATTTAAAGCAGGTCCAGAACATTAAAGTGTCTTACAATAAGGGAAAACTCAAATATTCAAGAACTTGACAAATGTTGAAATAGTGGTGAAAACTCCCTCATCACAAGTTGTTTTCTGCAGGTTAATATTACCTAAGACTTACCTATGGCTAGGTAATTTCAGGCATATAAATTTACCATTCATCAAAGAGGTTCATTCAGGTGGTGGTGGACTAATAATCTAATTGTTCAATTAGTATTCACATAATGAAAATAATTTGAAAGATGACTTAATTGCCTTTCATTTAGGCCCTGATGTTGATAGAAAGAAACAGATGGGCATTGGGAAAGCTAATTGTATGCTAATTGCCAATGCTAATTGTTTTTGTGTGTTTTTTGAATTTATCATTGTGTAATTCCCAATAACTATTATTTCCCCTACAGATACCCCAGATCAGTTATGCTTCGACAGCACCAGAGTTAAGTGATGACAGGCGGTATGATTTCTTCTCCCGAGTGGTCCCTCCAGATTCATTCCAAGCACAGGCAATGGTGGACATAGTGAGAGCTCTGGGGTGGAATTACGTCTCCACGTTGGCTTCTGAAGGAAGTTATGGGGAGAAAGGTGTGGAATCATTTATACAGCTTTCCAGAGAGTCAGGTAAGTGAAGGGTTCCAGCAATACTTTCTGAATATCACTTTCTTTTCTGAATTAAAGTTTTGTTGTTAAAATTGTTTTGAACTTTTATAATTCGACTTTCCTGGCAGCCTCATGCTTCTCTTCTCAACTTGTGTAGATATTTTCCAGAACAAAGCACTCATAGAACTGAAAGACATTAATGCTCAGTTGGAGAAAGATATAACAGTGAAATTGTATCAAGTTTCTGGTGCCCCACTGTTAGACTTCTAAATGATGGGATGATGGTACAAAGCAAAATGTAAACATATTGAGTCCTTATCTTTTCACAGCCAGGAGCGCTTCTGAAGCTAGCAATTTCTTAGATTTAAACTTTGTGCCAGATAGTTCTTCTCTTTCTTTCAAGTAATTTCCCACTTTTTTTAAAATGTGGGAAGGAAGCCGTTTTCTTCAGTTTGAGGGAGAAAATTATATTATTTTTATACAGTATATTCACAAACATACACATATGTGATATTTTAATATTTCTGTGTCCCAGGGCCACCTCCGCACAGTTCTCACTATCATAATATCTCAGGTAAATCAATGCTTTTCTCATAATTTACTTATTGAGTGTGCTTTCTGAATGGATGTTGCTGCTGAGGAATACCTGTGTGTGTTGAAGATTCAATGAACCATTCTGGGGTACCCATTTATATTCTCTTAAGGTTCATTATACACTCTTCAACAGTTTGCTGTTATGAGGTAATTGGGTGCAGGCTGTATATGTGTATCTCCCACTGTTGATGATCCCACTGATAAGCCCTGATAATCATCATAATCATCATCATTATAAACCAAAACTGAAGGCTTGATTTTTGCTGCACGAGAACAAGCGTGCTAAACTAATGTGCTGAAAGCTAAGATTCAAGGAATTGGTGCTAACAGAATATATAGACTCTGCTAAGAAAAGGAAAAAAACGGTGTCACACCTTATTTGGGAATGTCCAAAGATTGCACAAAGAGATTACAAAGTTATACATGATAGCCAAAATTAGTGCACTGGTCATTATGCCAGTGTCCAAAAACCCATGGGGACATCAGATAGAGAAGGTGTCAGAAAATGACAGATTCAAGATCTTGTGGGATTTCTGGATCCAAACTGATAGAGACCTTGAGCATAACATCCCAGACATAGTAGTAACAGAATGTAAAAAATGTCTGGATAAATGTAGTATGTTATATGCCAGAGTACATTCCAATAAAATCAATAATGTACAATTTCCATTACATCTCAGATTCCCTCTGATGTTGAGGTTTTGGAGCCAGTTGGCTGAACACACACAGAGAGACTTATATGTATATGTAAAACCTTCTCTCTCTCTCTCTCTCTCT